TTAGAGAGGGCTGTAAAGCACTGTGAAGTGGTATATAAGTCTAAGTGCTAAATGCTATCTCCCTCATTTCTATATGAAAGAGAAAAGAAGAATATGCAATAGTCTACAACCCAAGGTGAGGAATGTAAAATACAGTATCAGCAAAAAAAAAAAAAAAGCTTCAGTGAGAGTCAAAGTCCAGATCTTGAAATAGTACAAGCAATGCCAAGGTCTAATACGAACGTTCGGTCAGATTCTGGGCATGCTGGTGCAAGGGAAAGATGGAACTGATGTTTTTCTTCAACTTTATTACCTTTTGCTCAAAAGTGTATGCATAACTGTCAAGCCCCACATGGTTGGCAAGACCAAAGAAGCAAGAGCAGTATGGATTTCAGGAAGCTATCTTCCAAATACCCAAACTTGGCTCTAGAAACATAACAGTGTTCTAGGGAGAGGTTCTTCAAAGCCTTGGACTGCTGGATTACTCCTGTCTTTAGTGCACTACTTGGTACCAGATGTGTGGGATCCAAAAGGCAGAAGGACGTGGCTCTTCCTTGCTGGTTCTGAAAAACCCTCTCCAGTCTCCCAGAGTTTCTTCTGTTCCTAGGAGGAAAATTCATCTGAGGAGATTGTGACACTTCTCATTAGAAGCTGCAAGCCATACCACTAAGTATTACACTTCAGTCCTTTCACTATTCTACCTTATGATTAACAGGAATTGAATTCTAACATTTCTGAAAGGTAACAGCTTAAGGCAGGGAGGGAGGGAGGTGTAAAAAAAATCAAGATGGTGGCTGTGATTTAGGCACATAAACCAGGGTTAGGCTTCAATAGTGGGCATGACTGCAATCATTTTCTTGCCTTTTAAAAAAAAGCATGCCTACTAGGCATTTTAGGTAGGCCTGAATAAAAAGCAGACCCTGCAGAATTCCAGAAATATTTATTATTGTGGTAGAATTTAATAACAGAATCTTGAAAGTCAGTGCAAGTTTCCCTCTGTTTCCCCCTTTATGCTAAACACAATTAAGATGAATTTCTTTCCCATGCTTCCTTCTATCTTTATTTATTTATTTTATTTATTTAAATTTATATCCCGCCCTTCTCCTTGCGGACTCAGGGCAGCTAACAACCGGATAAAAATACAAAAATAACACACTACAAGTTTAAAAATTAATTAAAAGGGAAATATTTGTAATTTGGTCTAATTAAAATTATAATTAAAACCCCCTCTAAAAGTTTCCCCTAGGCCAGTCCCGCAAGCTGGAATAACCATGTCTTAAGGGCGCGGCGAAAGGAAGGGAGATCAGGGATCACCCTGATCTCTGGGGGCAGTTCATTCCACAATCTTTGGATTGTGTACTCTCTTGTCTAAGTCCCTGCTTAAGTTGGCTTGCTCGTATCAGCTTTAAATTCCTTTACAACCTCTTTCTGTAGATTCTTTTGGCTTTAGCTAAAACCTACTTCATGTGAGGAAACGATTCTACTTAAGGATGAATCTGTCTTTCTGTCACATATCTGGCATTTCCTGTAGCTCCAGAAATAATATAGATGTAATGGTTGCAGTTTCTATAATCTGGCATCAGATGCTGTCTGACATTGTCTAAGGTTACTTCCATAAAAAGAAGCCAACTATTGTTTGAGGCTGTCGATGTTGCCTTGAATAATGGCTCCATCACAGTTCAGAGGATGAAACAGAATGAATGAAATTTTTACGGGGACAGGGGACTAAATGCATAAATTATACATTGTCCAGCAGAGTCCTAAAAGGCATTTCAAGATGTGCATGACAGAGAGGTATTAATAAAAAGAAGCTTCTAGGCATTATGGAAGACAGGCCTTTTAATTAAATGTTCATTAAGACTTCATGAGGATGCTTTATTATGACTGTCCCACCTTAAAAAACTGGGATAAAAATGTTATTAATTGGCTACTATAACTGATAGGAACTTGTGAATGCTGAGAAGTAGGCTGTTGGTTTTCTGGTTAAACACATATGAATGAATGAGTGCTACTGAATATATTTTTTATAGTGATCCTTAGGTTAGAGTCCAGGGGTAGTCAACCTTGGCTCTTTTATGACTCGTGGACTTCAACTCCCAGAATTCCTGAGCCAGCTGTGCTGGCTCAGGAATTCTGGGAGTTGAAGTCCACGAGTCATAAAAGAGCCAAGGTTGACTACCCCTGGTAGACCATGAGTTTGCCTGGTCAATTAATGTCAACTACACTTTGTGTAGTAATTGTTTTCAGTCTAATATAATGGTACGAGGAGAAAGACCACATTACCTTCTGCATGAAAATCCACGTAATCTAACAGTGAACCAAACCCTGATCATAAACACACCCTCCTTTGCCTAGCCTCAGCTTCAGAAACAGAGGACATAACCTCCCAATGAAATGAGAAATTTTAAAAATGGTCAACTCATGGAGAATTGAACCACTTTCAGCTGCACCAGGCTGTAAGTAGCCCAGGCTACATCCAGTTGCTCCCTTACATCTTTGCTTTCCAATGGGTCTTTTTTGACTTTCTTCTGGTAAGGCTCCAATGCCTTATTTCTTCCCCAAATACTTGCATTTCCAGTTCTTCTATCCAGAACTTTCAGTTTCTGAATGACTGGTTAGCCACTTCATAATCCTTAAATTTCCCTCTCTTTCGACCACTGTTTTTTAAAATTAATTCAACTGTCTATAAAATAAAGCTCTCTTGTCTCCTAGCAACAGCAGGCTAGGGATCGGGATGCTGTGCTTTCCTAATGAGCCACAGCAGCGGCAGAAGCAGAGATGCTTGTGCTCTCCTACTCCAAATTGGATTAGATGTAAAAAAAAAAAAAAGATGAGATTATACAGTTTTGGAAGTGCACAAACCCTCAACAGAAGAGGGCACAGTGGAAAAAGTACAGGAAAAACTGAGCCACAATACAAAAAGTTGAGAGCTGGGGAAAAGTAAACTGATAAGAAAATGGAAAATTCTGCAGCCAACTCATTGGCAAAAGAATTAGTATCAAGATGGGCAGGGCA